GAACCGGTCTGTATGTGGGATCCGAACCCTCGGCGGGAGCGCCTCCGCGCTTCCCAAGCGGCGCACTAGCGCAGTGCGCCACCGGGCCGGCCCCTAATGAATATGATTCTATTTGTACTGAAATAAGGATTTTGTTTAAAAAAAAGTCTAAGATATAGTGAACTATATTTCAACACAAGACAGTCCTCACTTGCTGACATTTTTATATATAGTCCTTTAAGAGAAATGGCTAACAGCATCATCCAGATTTGGAGAAGATTCCGATTTCCACTTTGCGTGTACTGAGCAAGAAAGAAGGAACTTACAGTTATTTCTGAGATGCCTGTATGAACTGTGTGTTTCTGTCTTCTGTCAGAAATGACTGAAAGTTCTTTGACAGCAGGGTACACATCATTCATCGTTATACTAACACTGCATCCGAGACACTTATGACTAAAAGAAATACATGTAGGTATGTGTAGTGGATTGAATTATGTCTCCCCAAGACTCACTGAAGCTTGAATTGTATTCCCCAAGTTTTGTGTATTAGAAACTTAGCCTCCACTGTGACTGTTAAGGGGGTGGGAAATCCTAGCATATGGAAAAATCTGTGGGGTAAAACCTCTTAAAGAGATAACCATCAATGGTGTCACAGAAATACATTTGCCTATAATTTAAAATAAATGAAAACATGTATTTTACTTTTATTCACCAAAAATTACTTATTTCTTTCATAATATTTATCTATTTTTGTCAAATGAAAAAGCAACAGTAAAGAGACATTAAAAACAAGAATAAGTGGTAACAATATAAAGTCACATGTGGTAACAACGTAAAGTCACATGTGGTAACAACGTAAAGTCATAAATAACCACTGGAAACAGTCACATGTAACACTGACTGACTTCCTGACTTAAACTGCAGAAAAGAGTATCTCTGTATTTGTTTCATTCATTCAACAAGTATTTTACTGAGCACCAGTGATGGGCCAAGAACTGTGCTCAGCACCCAAAGCCTTCTTAAAAAGTACAGAACATAGCCCCTGCCCTCTAAGAGCTTACAATCTGTTACCCTTTGGGAAAACAAAGCAAATAAGAAACCATAAAACAAAACAAGTCAATAACTAAGTGCCAAAATAAGTGAAACAGTAAGAGCTCTGGGTGGATTACACTGGATTTTCTTTAATAATTTGAAGAGGAGGTATATGTTGGCCAGTTGTTTTTGATGACCTCCTGGAGAAGGCAGGACTTGAAACAGTAGAACTTAGGAAAGCTAACGGAAGTCCATGGTGATAGCGAGCTGGGGGCAGGAGGGAAAGAAGGACAGCATAAGCTTGTAGTCATGAACTAATGTAATTACTCAAGATAACATGAAAAGACCAGGCTGGGTTCAAATTAGGGACTGTAAAGAAGACCAGCCTGGGATCAAATTAGGAACTGTGAAGAAGACCAGCCTGGGTTCAAATTAGGAACTATGAAGACCTGCAGCTTTGTATCATGCTCTGATGTGTACTATGGGAGATCCCTGAAAGTTATGCTGTGGAATTTACATACTATGCTATAAACAGAAAAACACTGGAGATTCTTGGGCAAGCAGATAACATGCTGAAATCTAGAATTTTGGTGGGAGGGGGGGGCAGCTGGAGGGTGGAAAGAGGGCAGCCTTGAAGCCAGAAAACCAGCTCGAAAATTGTTGAGTATCCTAGGCATGAAAGTGGGATGACTTGGGCTCAGATGACAGCAGGAATAGAAATAAAATAAGATCTGTTAGAGCCTGCCTTACTCAATATAAGAATAAGAAAATCAAACTCATTTGTAAAACTCAATTTAAAAATCATTTATTTATCACTTTATTGACCAAAGACCAAAATAAAAAGTACTGAATAAATAGATTTATGGAGGCATTACTAAAAGAATTTTCTATTCTTTTATTTTTACATCAACTCATAAAATCTCATATTATCTACTCTTCTAATAAAATGATCTGAATTAAATCATGGGCTGTTAGAACTGAAAGGGACCTTAAGTTGCTTTCTCTACTTCTCTCATTAAAAGAGGAAAACTAAGATTCAAAAAAGGGAGGAAAAAAGATCCGGCTAATGCAGTCTCCTGAGAAAAGGCAAAATCACTTGGGATAAAATGGCAAGACTTTCATGTCCTCCACGTAGAAGGGACAACAAAGAATAAGACATGAAAACATTTTAAAGGCATAACATTCTTTACTATAAATACAAAGAAGACAGCCTCTCACATAATACTTTGATGAAAATTTCTACTGAAAAGTTTTGAGTACTGCCACCAAGCATGAACTAGTGATCCTTCCAAAAATCATTATTTAAGTCACATATCATTTAAAGTTTATACAACTTGTAAGGTCCCTTCCAGCTGTAAGATCCTATAATTCTGTGAAAGTAGAAGCATGACTTTCCCATAAAATTATGTATAGTACAAAAGAGGCAAATTTAACTTACACAATAGAAGGTTAGAGATAAACGTGAAAAAAATTAAGCTCCATTTGATAATTTCCAAATATTTATTACTAACAGATTCAGCTAAATAGCTTGCTGCATTTGAAAAATTATGAGCCTTGGTTTCCCTAGATTGTTATTCTGTTCAGTCTGCATATTATTTTACAAACTTTTAATATTTCATATTCAGTAACATTCCAAAGACCACAATCATTTAGCAATAAGAGTGTCGCCAATTTTAGCCTTCAGCTGGTCCCAGCATGAGATCTTAATGCAAACTAGTCAATACATGAAGGTTCCATAATTTTCAGTCTGAAAGTCTGAAGAATTTGTGAATTAATTTTTTAAAACTGAATGGCAGAATCCTAGAAACTTTCACTTCTGTGAATGATATAGGCACCCTGCTTCTTCTCAATTATCTTTTGACCACTTACTGCTCATTAATACTTCTGACGGTGGGTAGACAGATGAAATGATGCAGAAAAAAGGACTGATTTTGCTACTTATTATCAACTTTTACTTTTAAGGAAATGTTCACAGATTTTTCAAATAAGATTTCTGAATTATTTAAGGATCAAATTATCCATGTTCTCACAGTCTGGTATAAAGCTAAAACAAGAATTACCTTTACCAAGATTTGGGCCCTCTATTTGTTAGATATTAAGGGGAAAAGACAGAATGAAATAATTTGGAGAAAAACAATGGAGATTCTTTTAGAACCCTAGGAGCTGGACTCCTTCCTAATACATTCATTCATCATCCTAACAGGAGCCAACAGAGGGAGAAAGAATTCTAAACATCTAAATAATCAGATATACTTAAAAACACATGGCATATACTGGCTTAGGAAAAAAGTAGAAGAAAACCATAAGGCAAAATCTGGACTGCCTGAATGGATGTGTATCAAGTAGCAAGTAAACTTACTAGGAAGATGGTCACTGATACAGCTAAAGAGAAAGGGCCATAACGCAAACTGTGACTAGCTTATGTCAACGAGATACATGAAAGTACTTTTAAAAAATAAAACCTGCATTTTATTAGAAAGGACTAGTTGGCATCTTGGTTTTGGTAGTGCACTAGCACCATTACAGCAAGGGTAAACAGGTCAATCCCTTGCAAAACTTACCTTGATTGGCCCAATGGAAACAGAAGGCCCCAGAAAAGAGAGAAGCATCTGGCAGTAGCAAATTGTTTTATTTTATCTTTCTGTGGAAAGAAACTAATTTTAAATAAGAACCAGAGAATTTAAAGAATAAATATTTTTTAAAGCTCATTATCTAGTTAGAGCAGCTCTACCAAGAAAACAAGAAGAGTTCCTTGCTGCTTAGAGATGGGAAGAAACAGAAGAGGAATCAGAGTTGTTTCTCCATCACCTAGGGAGTTCTAAAATTTGTGTTATTCTAGAGTAACAGAGTAAAAGACTTTTATTTAAAGAACTCCTGCAGGCAGAATCTTTTGAGCCTGGTGCCTTTGAACAAAGATTTTAATACAAAATTAAGGGCTATACTTCAAATAAAAAGGAAGAAAACCACTGGCATTATGCCCTTCTACTCTTGAAGTTAAGTAAAAAGAGAGACACACATAGCAAGCTCCTTTTTCCACTGCAATTTCACCAAAAACTTTAACCATCAAGGATTAAATGATTACCAAAGTAAACAGAACTAATCAGCAAAAGAACATACATAATTGGCTTTCCAAAAATACTCTGTTAGCCTACATTTTTGATGATTTATCTAGATACTCAAAAGGAAATAACCCGGCCACCTAGGGATCTGTGTACTGTAGAACCTAACATAGTACACAAAATTATTCATGGTAACTAACTGAACCTGTTACCTTTCTTGGATACTCCTCTAGAAACTCAGTTTCTACCAAAATCACTGAGTCAGCATTAAAACCTTTTGATCCAAATTACTCCCATAAAATGTCCATTCACAATTTATGCTAGAGACGGAAGGGACGGCTCATAAGCAGGAGTGCAGAAGCAATAAGCATTAAAAAATATATATATATATAGTGTAAAATGAACTACTGATTTGGCACTGTCCTATGAAGAATCAGAACTATACAGAAGAAATTCCTCCCCCTCCCCCCACACCCACACACAAAGGGGAAAATACTTCTAAGGAATAAAATTCATTCTAAGCCAGAGGCCTAAACAATTGCTGTTTTCAGAGTCTATGCATTTACATAGCCCACCAAAACAAGTTGACATATCAGATAACAATTACTTTTAGATCATTAACTTCAACTGACATGCTTGAAAAAACTCGTTAGATTAAAAAGCCTAGATGTACAGTTACCTTTAAATTTAAAAACAAAACAAAAAACACTCTTAGTTTTGTTGAGATAGTCAGCAAATTTTTTCTAAAGACTTTTCCATTACATTCAACCTTTGGTTACAGTCATGATTCAACACCTGCCTTATATGAAATTACCTGAGCATAAACTAATCCTTAAACAGCTACAAGTATTGACTTAGATTTAGAAATCTTGACACAATATTGACTGAAGCAAAAACAAACCATACAAAATAATACAAAAACATTCTTACTTGTCCCATTGGTGGCCCTCCCATAGGGGGCATCATTTGTGGCATCATTCCATGAGGTACAGGAGGCATATTTGCTCTCTGTCCCATAGGGTGCATTCCCATTGGGGCATAATGCATGCCAGGGTGCCCCATCTGAAAAGTAGTGAAAATTTAAAAATTAGCACATTACACTAAATGCTTCTAAAAAAAAAATCTCGTTTCAACAAATCATTTACCTGCAGTGGCATATTAGGCTAATCTATGATTACATTATTGGGCCAATTTATATCTCCTTGTTTTAAACAAAACGCTCTGTGCATGATTTTTAATGAGCTTGCAAACTCCATAACAAAATGGAAAAAGTTAAGATCATTATAGGACAGCTGGATCTTAAAAAAAAGCACTGATTTAATCAGCTGCTAATTGGCTTCTAAGTTTGGAAAATATGTATTGAATGCTAATTTTAAAACCGTTATGGTGAAAACCACAACTTTGTCCTATTTCACACAGATATAAGAGATAGCCAGCTTCTGTTATTTTATAACCCTTCTGATTTTATACTTCAAAATGCTGAATTTACCCAATTAACTCAGATGAGGGCTGATCTTATAAAACACAGTGTGGGTACCCAGAAACACTTCATATCTAACAGATAAATATACTATTTCCTAACACAGCCTTTAAGACAGATAAAATTCCTCCTGCCAAAAACATTTTCAAAGATGAGTTTCTGTCACAGACACTAAATGCAAACAACGAATTCATCCATATTAATACGCTTTTAAAAGACAACTACTTTCTTTACCTATGTGCTCATTATTCCAGGTTTTAAAACCAGGTAATTATTCCCTGCCAATTTTCCCAACAGTCCCCCCTGCAGACCACCACCACTACTAGTGAAATCAAATTTTGGCAGCCTCTCTCAGAATCAATTCTCCGCCTCCCCCTACCTGCTAAATTAGGCCTATGGCTCCAATACGCTTACCCCGCCCAGGGCCCAGCACATTCACAAGCGCATCTGCCTAGGCCAAGCCTACTGGGAACTCCCAGGGTCCCACATCCTCTTTGTGCATCCCCGCCCTCCATTTCTCTCCCTCGGTACATATCCCACCATCTCGAGCTCTTCCTTCGTCCACTCTTATCTTCTTCTCCTTTTGGAGAAAGCTTCCTGTCTCTCTGACTCCGTTTTTCATTGTGCCGCTTTCTCCCTGCCCCACCGATCCCTTACCGAGGGCCGTCTCCTCAGGAAGCCGTCAGCAGAGACCCAAGAACTGGAGCAAAGGCTTGAGCCGGACAATCTCCGCTCCCCGTCCCCGGGACCCCGCGAGGAAGGATGGTTCTCCATTTCACTCACCATGAGGCCTCCACGCTCGGCTCCAGTCCCCGGCCTCATCGTCGGGCTCAGACTGCTCCGCCGGCGGCCACTGCCGCTACACATACCAACAAGAAGCGATCTGAGTGGCTGGCGCCCGCTGGGGCTAAAGGTTAAAGGCTGCCCTGAGCTATGGGGCGGGACCAGCGGCGCCAATAAGCTGACGGGCTTCCCCGCTGTCCAATCAGTGTGCGCCGTTGACACACGGCTCTGCGGCGATTCGCCCCCAGCCTCAGCCTCACTCGGCACCGCCTGCATTGGAGGGGGGAAGGGGGACGGAGGAAGTTTCTGCGCCGAGTCCTCTGCTGGGAAAACTCCACCAACTTCCTCGGGGGAAGGGAAGATAACCGTGTCCCAGCTTCCCGAGCTTAGACCGCCTCACCCCATAGGGGGTGGGACAGTGGGGACCTGCCACCTTCACCCCCCACCCCCCGCCCTAGTTACGTACGCCCGACAAACCTGAGGCTGCCAGGGGAGGGGTGGGGGGAGGCAGGGGATAAGCAGCGTCTAGCTTTAGCGGTGCCTGGGGCCAGTTGCGCGCGCGCGGGGCTCGGGGCTGGGGGGGGGGTGCGGGGAAGGCGAGAGGAGGGGTCCTGAGGAAAGGATTCGAGCTCCGTACGCACCGGGTGGAGGGCGCGCACTGGGGCGGAGGAGGAAGGAGGCGCGTCGAACAGCCTGGAGGGAAGTTGTGGTAGGGGCGGGGAGAACGACGCGAACGAGAGATAAGGGCTGGGCAGTTAAGGTACGGCGAGAGCGTGGGGCGGAGAGCTGCCGTTAGTCGGGAAAGCCGGGGAAGCATGCGAGCGTAGAAGGGAATAAGGGATAAAGCAAATAAGTTCGGGAATGTGTACCGGAGGGACAGAGGCGGGCGCTAGGACCCAGCATCAAGCAGATGCGGCTTCGGGGTCCCCGGGGCGCGCCCTTGCCTGGAGGTGACGCGGCGGTGGCGGAGGTCTCTGGCCGGCACGAAGCGCTGCAGGGAGAGGAGAATCGACTACCTTCGGCCTCGGCTCGCTTCTGCCTAACCGCTTTCCTGCTCCTCCTCCCGCCTACGGCCCCAGTGTCGGACTCTAGTCCGGGGAGCAACCAGCCTCTCCTCGGGGCCCACGGTTCCCTCTACGTCCCACCGCCCACCCTGGTCCACCCCTGCGCGCCGGGTCCGGTTGGTGGAGGCCACTACGGCTCCCGGCTGCTGATTGGCTGCTGTGGGGGCGGGGCGGGACTGGTGGGAGAAGCCGCGGGTCTCTCGGTCTTTCCCGCCATGTCGTTTGTGGAGAGCGGTAGGCGCTTGGCCCCACGTCGCCGCGGCTTGGGCACCCCGGCCCCTTTCCCCCGGCCGGTATATTCCTCCTTTAGTCAGGGAGACAGTTGGGGTGAAGGCGAAGTCGACGAGGAAGAGGGATGCGACCAAGTGGCCCGCGACCTGCGGGCGGAATTCTCGGCTGGGGCGTCGTCGGAGCCCAGAAGGGGCTCGCTTCTCTCTCAGGACGGGGATGAGTCGCCGGTCCTGCTTGATAAGCGTAATGGTATCTTCCCGGCGGCTGCGGGCAGCCGAGCTCAGGCTCGCCGGTGGCCGGTTCAGGTCCTCTCTGTTTTCTGTTCTCTGCTGTTCGCCATCCTCCTCGCCATCCTCCTCGCGATTACCTACATGATCGTTAAAGGTACTGAAGCCCAGGCCTTGAGAGGCTGTCCAGAGTAAAGTTGAGCAAGGCCTGGTTCGTTCCTCCATCAACTCCGTTTCCCCCGCCCAACCAAAAGTCGGCAAGCTGGCAGCCGCTTTCACCCAGATCCCTCATCTGCACCTTTCTTTGCTCTTCCCCCTTTTGTCTTTCCCTAGGTAGGGGCCCTGGTCTATGACCAGAAGACCCATTTTAAGAAGGGATATTTTGATTTAATGGGTACTCTTGAAGAAATAACTTGAAGTCAGCGAACACGTGGGGTGGACATATTGGCATAATTAAGCAAAATACAGACCACCCACCATTAAAAGGAGACGGTGAAAAGTTTGTGTAATTAAAACTGGCTATATATGTTCAAAGGCTTTGATCCACAAATGGTTAAAGATGTAATATCCACCGATTCCTCTGTACACCCAGAAATCCTTAAGGACAAGGATTACCATCCCACAGCCCAAGTTTCTACTTTTATAGGTAAAATCATTAGCCTCTCAGTTTTGTATTGTTCGTAACCAGATGCAGTGCGCAAAATTCTGTTGCCCGACGTAGTCGGCTTTTCCTCTAATAATTTTATTTTTTCTGTATCTGAAGTTGACATATTGGCCAGATTGGAATAAAAGTAGGTGTACTTTGAAAGTCTTTTCCAGGCTTATACAGGTGTGTTATGTGGTTGGCTATTGTATATTATGGTAGAAAGAATCAGACTTGAGTTTAAGTCTCAAATCTCACTAGTGTATGACCTTGGCCAAGTTATTGAAAAAGAGAAATTAAAACTAAAAAACTTTGTGCACGAAGAGCACCCACCACATTGTCAATCAAGTTTTAGCTTTGCTTCACTAAATAAAATTAAATATTCCAGTTTTTATTTTTCCTCATTAAGTTATTGAAAAAGAGAAATTAAAACTAAAAAACTTTGTGCACGAAGAGCACCCACCACATTGTCACTCAAGTTTTAGCTTTGCTTCACTAAATAAAATTAAATATTCCAGTTTTTATTTTTCCTCATTGCTTCTCAGCCCCTTGTTGGCTGCAGATGGCATCTAACAGCTTACTATGCTTGATTTTCATACAGAAAGCAGATGGATAGTTAATGTGTGAGTTTTACCTCTTCATAAAATGGTATTGGGTGTGAACAGTCAATCTTAAGTGTTTGGCTGCCAATGTTTCATTTCTTTATCACTCTCCTCTTTTTTACTTCAACGCTGATAGTTTTGTAGGTAGTTTATTTCTCTTCTGCTCTGAAAGACTGCCTTTGTGTCATAATGTTGCAAAACCATTGGAAGTCCATTGCAGAAGACATTGAACTGCTTTTTTTGAGAAAAAGGAACTGAACTCAAAATCTGTTATGCCCTTTAATTTGTATTACATAAAATGTTTTCACAACAACCATAGGCAATAACATGCGGTCTAGGAAATAAATACATATGGTAGTTGACTCCTGTAAAAGGTCTCATTTGCTTGCTGAAGGTTACATAGCTAGTAAATTGAATCAGAATCTGAACCTAGTTCTTTCTGACTCCAGAGCACTTTTGGCAGGCCCACAATGTCTTCCCAGCCTTTGAGTTATTCTTCAAATTATAAAATAATCTTACTTTTCTACCTAAGCCCCTCTTTGTATTTACAGAGTTGCATGCTGAGAATTTGAAAAATGAAGATGTAGACACTGGGCTATTCGGTATGGACTTAATTGTCACTTGATTTGATTTTGAGCTCACTTTTGTTTCTCCAGATCATGTTTAAGCTATACAAAGTTTAGGGTAAAATACCTAGTATATTCCCATGTACAGTTGATTCAGTCTGCATTTTTTATTTGCATAGGTTTGTGGTAAATGTTACTAGATTTCCTTTGTATATATGTGTAGGGGAGTGTGTATATTATATATTTGCCATAATTTTATAATGGGCACCATTGTGTGTGTGCAGTACACACACTAGTAGTAGTAAGTGAACACAAGTGTATGTGTCACTCAGATCCAGAGAATACTTAGCATTTTCTAATTTCTTCTGGAAGAGGCTTCCCACACCTCTTCTCAGAAATTTAAAAACAAACTTCCTCACAAAGTTGTCAGAGATCAATAACATCTTAAGAAAACCTCAGGAGAAATTTAAGTTCAAATCTTTTTATAAGGAAATTCTTTGAAATATTATAAATAAGTATTGCCCATACTTGTGCAGGCTAATGACTAGGTGAGTCAGACCTGAGTTTTTAATAGAGTGTCTGTTAAATGCTGTAGTTTACAGGTTTCAAGTGAAAAATGTTATTTGTGCTGTATTTATTTCTCTCCACCAAAATGATTTTGAAAAGTTGAGAACTTTACCAATGAACTAGGCATGAATTCTAACCTACTGCTATTTAAAAGTTGGCCAGATTTCACATTTATGAATAGAATGGGTGGCAGTTGTTATCTGGAGGAATGGCTTGGTCAGTATTAAAAGGAATATGATACAAACTGGTTATTGCCCTGCCTTTTTTTCCACACTTTCAGTTAAATAATCTCACATTGCTTTTAAGTATGCTTGATAGATACTTAATAATACTATAGCAAATACTAGTGAGAAGATTTACTATCAAGATTCAGGAATCAGCAGAAACTGCTATATTTTAAAGGCAAAAAACACTAAATAATCACTATGCCAGAACAGAGATTCTTATTTTGAGCCGAAGCTGCAGCAGTCAAGTGGAGAATAAATATAGTCAGCATCAGCTAATGGGCTAATTCAATCAGTTTCCTGGATATTAATTTTAAAGTAAGCATACTTACATTTATAGCAAATATATATTATAACATGTGGATAGAGAATAGCCTTCTCTACCAGAAGAGGATCCTTAAAAATCTGTTTCAGAGAAGCAGTGCCAAGATAATTAAGCTTTTAAAAAGTTGAGGTGATTCTGGTAACACCTGCCTTTATACTGTTCTGAGCTGGAATTCTCTCCTGTTTGGGAGAAAAATATACATTAGCTTCTTAAGAGAATCTTTTGAATTGACTACTGGTCTCTGGTTAAAAGTCCTGTTGAGGCCAGTTCTCTCAAACTTTTGACTTCCATCCAAATCAACACTGAGTTGATTAACTTAGATATTAAGAAAGATTACTTCATTAGCTCACCCCTGAAGAAATGCCTGTGAAATTATATTCTTGCTTTTTTACAGTTGTTAGGAAAGTTTTCACATGAAGAAACAGCCCCAGAATCTTTAATAAGGAGCTGTTGTTGAAGTCAACGGTTAGGTTCAGCAAAAGTAGCATGCAGCCTTTTATCATATGATAACTGATTTCATTGTATTTCATTGTATATCATCTTGTTTACTGGAAACCTCATAGCTAAATCTAATGTTTGATTGTTTTATATATTACGCTTTGTTTTTTGGTATAATTATTATTGCCAATACATGCCGTTATCTTAATATTGCAATGACATTTAAATTTTATTGCAGATTGTCTTGATTCTTTGTTTAAAAGTAGGTTGGTTTTTAGAAAAAAAACGTGAGCACAGGCACTACTCTATCATGAAAGAGTTCTCTTTCTAGACTGATAAAAATTTTATACACTGCAAGTTATTTTTATTGCAGTTCAATCCTAGTCCAAGGTCGGCGTAGTGTACGTTATGGTCTTTTTTTTTTTTTCTAACTTCTCAGTATACATTGTAGTTGATTTTCGTGTCCCTTTATTTATTTATTTTTGTTGTTTTTATTTTTGTTTTGGCGGCTGGCCACTAAGAGGATCTAAACCCTTGACCTTGGTGTCATCAGCACCATGCTCTAACCAACTGAGCTAACTGGTGAGCCCTTCATTATAGCCTTGATTCTCATTTTGGTGTGGGTAAGAATCACCTGGGGACTTTCTTTAAGAAAGCACCTCTAGGTTTTGTTTCAGCCCAGGGTGGAGCCCATGAATGTTCATTTTTTACATGTGATTCTGATACAGGTAGTCAACAGACCACGGATTGAGAAATACTTTTGCAGGCCCAGAAACTGATTTTTTTTTTTTGTCTTTTTTCGTGACCGGCAACGGATCGCAACCCTCAGTGTCGCGCCCGTACCGGACCGGGACCGGCAACGGGATCGCAACCCTCGGTGTTGCTCCCGCACCTCGCTCAGCCAGTGAGCGGGAACCGGTCTGTATGTGGGATCTGAACCCTCGGCGGGAGCGCCTCCGCGCTCCCAAGTGGCGCACTGTAGCAGTGCGCCACCGGCCGGCCCCAGAAACTGATTTTTTTAAAATGCATTCAAGGGTGTACTTGAGAGTTGACTAATGACAAATAAACAAGAAACAGTATAAGCACAAATGCCTGTTAAGAACTTAACATTTAAAGGAGCTGAGACACAGTAGTTCTCTGATCATCTTTGTTTCCCCAAAATCTATGGAAAACAGTTTATAGTTTTTTGTTGTTTTTTTTTTTTGTCTTTTTTTTTTTCATGACCGGCAACGGATCGCAACCCTCAGTGTCGCTCTTTCAGTGCCTTATGAAGCTTCTGAACCTGATATCTTTGTTTGGTACCTGTCATTCCTTAACATCTGCTGGTTAACATCAAGTACCTTTTGTGGCTAGGACCAGATTGTAGTGTTAAGGGCTAATCTAGTTTTTGAGCTGCCCATTTAGTTTCCTGTATTATGATTGAGAGGTTTCCATGCTTCTGCACATCTATGGAGAAGAGATGAATGACTTACACTGAATTCAGTCAAAGATGAAGCCAGATCATTTGAAGTGTTCATCAGTTATTTCTTTACTTGCAAAAGTGAGACTCCTACCATCATATTTTCATGATATAGAATATTAGAAAACATGGTAAAAGTTTCCAGTAGAACAGGTGTGTTGGAGGTGACTCATTCTCTTACAAAGACACAAGTTCAGAAACTTACTCAGTTTCTTTCTTAACATGAAAAATGTTTGAAACCCTGAATTTGTGTGAACCTTGTAATTTTAGCCCGCATCTCTTAAGTGTTATCTGCAACAGCGTGGGGTAACTCAAGTATTTCATCTAAAAATTCACAGATATGTTGTCCTGTTCTGTAGCACAATCTTTGTAAAATTGTGTATATTACCTACTCATTATCAAAAGAGCAATGACTAAGGCAAAAAAGTGAAGCCAAAAAGGAATAAAAATATACAATCAAAATGTTAGCTTATCTTGGTTTCAGAATTATAGGTGGTATTTAATTTTTTTATTTCTATTTTCTACAATATATAAGCATAATTAGAAATAAGAAAAATGTTTATTTTTAATTTAATTTAAAAAATTGTTTATTGAAGCATAATTGATTATACATATTTGTGGGGTACAGAGTTGAGTATCAGTAGTGTACAATATGTGATGGTCAAATCAGGAAAACTGTTTAAATAAAAGCACAAATTTAAGTTTAAAGAAGTAAATAGTACATGATCAACAATTAGCAATAACACTATTGAACTTTTACGGTATGCCAAAAACAGTTTATTCTTAAAAGTTTTAAGAATTTGCATTTCTAACAAGTTTCTAGTTGATGCTGATGCTACTAGTTTAGGTGTTGTACTTAGAGAACCGCTAGGCTAGTGCATCCCAAACCTGACATATCTGGGAAAAAAAAGGCCCTGAGGCCCTGGTGATTTTCTTTTTTTGAATGTACAATATCTCAGACCCTACGTTATCCACTGAATCAAAGTCACTAAACTGGCTGTATGCTTTACTGGGCAGTAAGAGTCCATTGGACCCATTTTCATTTTTGAATTTTTTGAGCAGTTCTGTTTGTAAGTATTGAAATTCAATGCCTTTTTACTTAGGGGTCTTCCAATGAATAAGGAAAACTGAGCTATATTTTTGATAAAGTTTATTTGATCTTAAAATTACCATATTGGTCTATTGGACCCTTTTTAAAAATTCTTTTGTGGACTTTTTTTTTTCTTCAAGAATCCTTTTATTTATTTATTTTTTATTTATTTATTTATTTATTTATTTATTTTTTGTCTTTTGTCTTTTTTCCGTGTCCGGCAACGGATCGCAACCCTCAGTGTTGCCCCCGTACCGGACCGGGGACCGGCAACGGGATTGCAAACCTCGGTGTTGCTCCCACGCCTCGCTCAGCCAGTGAGCGGGAGCCGGTCTGTATGTGGGATCCGAACCCTCGGACGGGAGCGCCAGCCGCGCTTCCCAAGCGGCGCACTATCCAGTGTGCCACCGGGCCGGCCCTCCTTTTATAAATCTGAAATACATAATGAGATTTTGTTTTCATGTATCACAACATTTTGTTATTTCATTACTTTAGGAATTATTTTAATATTACTCATCAGTTATTCTCAACTATGCTAAAAAGAATAGAATAATTATAATGGAATCCTCTAGCATAGGGAGCAGCCAACTGTGGCCCATAGGCCAGATCTGACCTGCTACCTGTTTCTGTAAAGTTTTATTGTAGCACGGTCTTGCTCATTGCTTTATATACTGTCTGTGGCTGCCTTCACTCTACTCTGGCAGAGTTGAGTAGTTGTGACAAAAAAACTTATGGCTTGCAAAACTGAAAGTATTTACTATCTGGCTCTTTTCAGGAAAAATATAGTATTCTCATCCAGTTAGTCATTCAACAGAAAGGACTTCAGGCAAGAAAAACCATTCTCTTTTGCTAAAAAGATGTGTGACAATATTTTTTCATCATTTATGATATCTGTGTGCCCTAATTTGTTTGATACTGTTTGTAAGTGGATAA